TATATATATATATCTTGGCGAATACCAAGATATATACACATATATATATAACGTGTGAATTTAGGACACGATCATAACATAACTGATCATAATAGAATATATTTTTCCTATTTTTTTTCAATGTGTATTAGTTTGAATATTTTTCATTACCTTAAAAGAATTTTTGCGTGAAGGCACGTTTTTCCTTAATTTCATTTTGCGTCTTAGAATAACCAATAAACAACTTCGAAAGACTTACGACCGCTTCACTTTTATGTACAAGTATATAATTGAAATTTGTATCACTTTACTGATTATGTATGATTGATTGTAGTACCGAAACTACTGTCTGTATTTCAAACTTTTCAACTCAATTCAAACGTTTTTCATAGCATTCAGTTGATTACCATTTTGCATTGAAAATGATATACACAAAGTATACGTGATAATGTTTTGGTGATTATTTTTATCTCTATAATCGCGTTTCAGGAACATAAATTTTCTTTTGACCTAACGATAATAGTTTATCTTGTCACTCTATCTTAATGTCTTTTGAAATTTCTTATTTCAGATTATCCGGAAATGCACTTTACCTACAATTCTGTAGGCTATTCCCATAGACAATATTCAATGAATACTTATAGCAGTCATTTACAACACTTGAAAAAATATTTTCTCGTCATTTATAAATGCGTGACGAGCAAATATTCTGCAACAATTGTGAACAACGTAAACAACAATATTTTAACAAACTATAAAAGTGTTAAAAAATGAAGAATGAAAAAAAACACAAGGAAATGGGTTAAAAATAATATAATGCCTTTTTCGATCAACAAGGTAATTTTGCATACAGTTTTCAGAAATTAAGGTTAAAAATATTTTGTTACATATCAGTTAATTATTTTTAACATCTTTATTATTTTGCCTAAAAGATATATCTTATGAATTCGGGTACATTCTTTAACAAAAAATGAATGAATTAATTAATTAAAATAAACAAATAATAGTCCAACTTTTTTCGCTAAAATATTAACTAATTTTTACTTAACTTATAATAAAACACGTTATTGTGAAACGTTGGATACAGAGCGCTAAATATGAATAATTTTTGATCTAATGATTTGATCTTTTCAATCTAGAATTCCATCTTAATGGTTCAAGAGGTGACTTCAAATATGCTAAATAATTAGTGCTGACGATGTTTTAAGTTACGAAATCAGACACAAAGACGTACTTTCTCTGAATAAACATACCTTTTTCGATGGATTTGGATTTCTGACCCCCAAAATATAAAGGGTAGCCACAATCTGGAAAATATGATCCCCATAGTTTGGTCAGTAGAGTGGTCCAAAGTTTGGACCCCTTAATATTAATTTTACTTTTTGATTATTAGTTCTGCCACGTGAAGATCCAATCATAAGATCAAAATTTATTTAGGGGGTCCGTTTATTTACTTATTTTATTTTTATTTATTTATTTATTTATTTGTACGTTGTACCCCATTCTGTAGTGTAACTTTTCCTGCAAATTACATTAAACAGCAATTGAAGGGAACCAATTAATTCAACATCTTTCCGAAAAAATGAAAAAAATGTTAATGATTTTTTATTGCCTACCATGCAGTTGCTTCGATTAATGTAAGAACCGTACGAAAATCTAACATCAGAACACACTAGAAAAATTATTTCAAAATTTCAGAAATCACTAACTATAACTATATTTTCATTCAAAGTGTCTTTCTTTGAAGCACATATTTACAATTTATTATTTAAAATTTTCCATTTGCATGAAACATTACTAAAAATGCTCAGAAATTCTATAAAATCATATAAAATAGTCTGTATTACATACTATAACTAT